TACATCTTCAACCTTCACCACCCAACCTAACCAACAGAGGAGACACATGGTCATCCTCTATGTCTCACCATGCTTTTTTTCGTAGTACTTAAAAGTACCTGAAATTATCATATTTATTTTCTTACCCGTATTCTTGGGAGACAGAAGTGAAATGCTGTACTTAAGAGCAGGGGAAGTGGTTTAAGCTAACATTTCCTGAATGCGTAACCTTGGGTAAATTGGTTAACCTCCCTGAGCCTCAGGACCTCAACTGTATAATGGGGTTGTCGTGATGATCGGGGATATGATGCCTGGCACTACATGGACTCAATACATTTTAGCTAATATTATGATAATGGTTAAGATCTATGGCTTATGGCTACTATCCCATGGCCTGAAACTGCTGAATGAACCAGAAAGCAATCTTCACCTAGTGCGTGGGAAGCAGACTCCGACCAGCTGCCTTGTGGAGGGAACGCCATGTAAGGTGTGACCAAAAGAAACGCATGTGCAGTGGGTAGCAGGAAGATGTGACAGAGTCCTGGTCGCAATATGACTACCACTTTGCTGTGGCCCTTGGGTGAGTCACTTCCCTTCCCTGGGCCTCAGGCTCTTAAAATGATGGGTTGAACTACTGGTTGCTCTGCTCCCTGCCAGCTTCCAGGGGTTCCCGTTTGGGTCCTGTGCTCCCATTTATCTACTATATACTCTTCAGGGTTGGGGACACATGGTGCCTCCAACGTCCACAGCCCTGCTTCCTAACGGTTCAAAGCTGCCTCGGAGAGAGTTGACCTGGATAAAACATTCTTGGTTTAAGCCTTTGAACCCAGAAACAAAGTCTCAGCCCTGGGCACTGGATCTTCTTTCTACCTATGTCCCTCCCTTCCCTTGTACCTCATCCACGTTAGTATTGGAGCCCTCCGGGAGGAGAGCCAGCCCTGACTGAGTCCCACCATGGGCTGGCCACAGTCCTGAAGACCTTGGCCTCAAAGTTATTCTCAGACATGCACGCCGTGTGTGTACAGCTGGATGAACACAGACGCATGTGCCTGTATGTACTTGTGGGTGTCTGTAGCTATATTTCAACTTGTTCCCATTTTCCTCTCAGTAGTGGCAGGAATGAGATTAAGAGAAAAGACTGTAGGATTGCAAGGCTGGCATTCTTCAAGGAAATAAGTCACCAGTCAAATGAGATGTTAGTCTCCAGGACTGTTTTGGGCCCAACATCCATTGTCTGCACTGCCCTCCAGGTATGGCCATGGTTCCCCAAGACTTGGAGATACATGGATTGGGGGGTAGGGGGAGGAGCACCTGTGAAGCTCATAGGGCTGGAGCTTTTCCAAGGGGTCAGGAGGGCTGCAGGCTTAGGAGCAGGCACTTCTGATAGCAGGTACTGCATTTTCCGGCACTCTCCATCCTATACTGAAGTCGCTGTCTGCTCCTTGGGTCAGTCTGGAGAACTGGGCAGACAGCTGGTAAGATCTCCAAGGGGGACATGGACCAAGGGAGGGGGAGTTTCTCTTTCCTTTCTCAGTCTTTGTTTCAAAGATGAGCCCAGCTGCCCCACACCTGTCTGCCCAGCTTACCCTGGATGCTCGAGTCTGTCTCCCCGCTAAAGCTGAGGAACAAGCTTCTCTCTGTTTGTCTTTCCCTCAGTGCCTCCTGGGGTGAGTGGCTGCAGAGGGACAGGTTTCAGAAGACAAGTTTGGTCTATTGTGCTGAAGGAGGAATCTGTGCATTGTTCAGTGAGGTGTGTTGTGGGCTGGGCTTGCCCAAGGTGGGGCAGATGAGGCCCTAAGAAGGCTGGTCTCCAGGGTCCAGGCGGTCTGTATGACCTTTCGATAGCTTTCTCTTTCATCCTCTAAGTTTAAGACCCAGTTGTTTTTCCTTTATTGTTTATATACTCTGACGATTTTTCTACTGCGTTGTGGGTCTTTTCTAGAGACCCACAGCATTTAAGATTTAATTCAGAGTTTAAGAGGTTGCACTCTGGGGCTAGATTGCTGGGTGTTGAATTGTTGTAGCTCTACCACCTACCTACTAGCTATATGGCCCTGGGCAAATTGCCTAACTTCTCTGTGCCTCAGGCACCTGACCTATAAAATGGAAATGATGTAGGATTGTTGGGAGGATTTGATGAATTAATGCACAGAAAAACTTAGAACCGTGCCTGTCACATATTATGAGCTATCTACGTGTTAGTTTTTGTTATTTTTTCTTATTGATGTCTAGATGCTATTTATATATAAGGGGCATTAGCCCTTTATCTATGATATGAATTGCAAATATGTTAACACAGTCCTCTGTTTACTTTCTTTTTTATTTTGAGATAACGTGGATTCACATGCAGTCATCAGAAAGAATACAGAACTCCTATATATCTTTCACCCAATTTTCCCCAATGGTACCATCTTTCAAAACTATAGTACAACATCACCACCAAGAAATTGAAATTGATGCAATCTACCGACATTATGCAGATTTCACCTGTTTTACATTTACTTATTGTGTGTGTGCGTGTGTGTGTATTTAATTCCATGCAGGTTTTTGATGTGTTGATTCATGTGATCACTACCACAGTCAAGATGCAAAACAGATCACAGCGACATCTCCTGCTACCCTTCTACAGCCTTAGCCACCTCTCTCTCTCCCCTCTGTAACCTCTAGCAACTACCAATCTGTTCTTCCTTTCTATAATTTTGTCATTTCAAAAATTTTCTATAAATGGAATCATATATAGTCTTTTGGGATTGGCTTTTTTTTTTAATCCTCACCCAAGGATATGTTTCCATTTATTTTTTAGAGACAGTGGAAGTGAAAGGGAAAGAAAGACAGAGAGAAATATTGATGTGAGAGAAACACATTGATTGGTTGCCTCCTACGCAAGCCTTGACCAGGGTCTGGCTGGAGCCTGCAACTCAGGTACATGCCCTTGACTGGAATCGAACCTGTGACCCTTCGGTCCACAGGCCGATACTCTATCCACTGGGCCAAACTGGCTGGGGCTTGGGATTGGCTTTTTTTTTAATGCAATATGAAATTCCATGCAACATGAGATTTATACAAGTTGTTACAGGTATCAATAGTGTGTTCCTTTTTATTGATGAGTAGTACTCCATGGAATGCATGTACAACAGTCTGTTTAACCAGTCATCCATTAAAGGACATTTGGATTTTTCTAGTTTGGGGCTCTTACAAATAAAGTGTTTATGAACATTTGTGTACAATTTTTTGTATGAATGTAAGTTTTCATTTTATGAACAAGAGTGTGATTACTGGGTTATATGGTAAGTGCATGTTTAGTTTTGTGAGAAACTGCCATACTCTTCCAGAGCAACTGGAATGTATGAGTTATCCAATTACTATACATCCTCACCAGCATTCACTGTTACCACTTTTTTATTTTAGCCATTCTGATAGGTGTGTAGTGATATCTCATTCCTTGTGTGTGTTTTTCTCTCTCTTTTAAAAACTATATTTTTATTGGTTTCAGAGAGAGAGAGAGAGAGAGAGAGAGAGAAACATCAATGATGAGCGAGAATCATTGATCGGCTGCCTCCTACACACCCCCTACTGGGGATTGAGCTTGCAACCTGGGCATGCGCCCTGACCGGAAATCGAACCAGTGACCTCCTGGTTCATAGGTCAGTGCTCAACCACTGAGCCATACCAGCTTGGCTCATTCTGGTTTTAATTTGCATTTCCCTAATGGCTAATGCAATTGAATATCTTTTCATGTGTGTTTGAATAATTGCCATCTGTATATCCTCTTTAGTGAGATGTCTGTTCATGTGTTTTGCCCATTTTCTTTTTCCTTTTTAGTTTAGAGAGAGAGAGAGAGAGAGGGAGAGAGAGAAATATCGATGTGAGAAACATAGATTAGTTGCCTTCAGCACTTGTCAGACTGGGGATCAAATCTGCAACCTGGCTATGTGCCCTGACTGGGAATCGAGCTGGGACAAAGCTCCAATGAACTGAGCCACACTGGCCAGGTCTTGCCCATTTTCTAATTGGATTGTTTATTGTTGTTGTTTTTACTTTTTGACCTTTGAGAGTTTAAAAAAGTATTCTAGATTTGTAAGTACTTTGTTGGATATGTCATTTGCAAATATATTTTCATAGTCTGTAGCTGTTTTTTCATCCTCTTAGCAGGGCCTTTCACAATGTAAAAAATTTTTATTTTGGATGAGGCCCAATTTATCAAGTTTTCCTTTTATGAATTGTACTTTGGTGTCATTTAGTGTCAAGTCTAACAACTCTTCCCTTAGACTGAAGGTCCTGAAGGTTTTCTCCTATGGTTCCCCCAACCCCCTATATTTTACAGTTTTTACCCATTTTGTTTAAGTTGTGACCCATTTTGAGTTAATTTTTGTATAAGGTGTGAGGTTTAGGGCAAGGTTCTTTTTTCTTTTCTTTTCTTTCTTTTTTTTTTTTTTTTGCTTATGGATGTCCAATTGCTCCAGTACCATTTGTTGAAAAGACCATCCTTTCTCAAATGAATTCATTGTGCACCTTTATTAAAAATCAGTTGGGCATATTTGTATGGCTCTATGGGTCTAATTTTGGGTTCTCTATTCTGTTTCACTAATCTATGTGTCTGTCCTTTGACAATGCCACACTGTCTTGATTACTATTGTAACCTAACCTAACTATTGTAACCAGGACTTATTTACCTTATAACTGGAAGTTTGTGCCTTTTGACCACCTTCACCCATTTCGCCCACCCTTCACCCCCACCTCTTGCAACCACCAATCTGTTCTCTATATTATAAGTTTTTTTTTTTATTCCACATATAAGTGAAACCATACAGTATTTGTCTCTCTCTGTCTGATCTATTTCACTTAGCATAATGCCCTCAAGATCAATCCATGTTGTGACAAATGGCAAGATTTCCTTCTTTTTATGGCTGAGAAGTATTCCACTGTCAATGGACACTTAGGTTGTCTCCATACTTTGTAAATAATGCTGCAGTGAACATGAGGGTGCAGATATCTTTTCAAGTTAGTGTTTTCCTTTTCTTCAGATAAATATTCAGAAGTGGAATTGCTGGATCATCTGGTAGTTCTATTTTTAATTTGTTGAGGAACCTCTATACTGTTTTCCATAGTGACTGCACCAATTTACATCCCACCAACAGTGTACTTGTGTTCCTTTTTCTCCACATCCTCACCAACATTTGGTGTTTCTTGTCTTTTTGATGATAGCCATTTTAACAGGTATGAGGTTATTGTTTTTTGCCATGCCATTTGAATTAAAAATTTTAAATTAATTTCAGAGAAGAAGGGAGAGAGATAGAAACATCAATGATGAGAGAGAACCATTGATTGGCTGCCTCCTGCACACCCCCCACTGGGGATCCAGTCCACAACCCAGGCATGTGCCCTTGACCGGAATCAAACCTGGGACTCTTCCACTGAGGTCTATCCACTGAGCCAAACCAGCTAGGGCTGAATTTTTAAAATGGGGTGAGAGATATCTTTTTAGTGTAACTCAGAGTATGTTGTCTCTTAAGATCTTTTCAGGGTGTACTGTAGCATTCAGGATGAAATCCAAACTCCTTACCTCAGCTCCAGGCTGTGGTCCCTGCCCACCTGTCTGGCCTCATCTCTCTAGGTTTCCTTTTTGGTCACTTCCACTGTAGTTAGCTAGTTTCATTTGCTTCCTCTTTCCCCTGGGTCTTTACAAATGCGGATTCTTCTGTTTTGAAAGTTATTCTCCCACCTTCTTCACTTGGCTTGCTCTCATTCCATCTTCAAATCTACTTTCTACCTCTGGGAGACCTTCCCTGAATCCCTGCCCTCTGGTCCCCTGGGTTTTCACCACTGTGTCCCAGCTTACTTCAGTACAGTGCCTGACAGGCACAGGCGCTCAGTGGATGCTTGGAGTAGGGAAGGATAACTCACTGGGAATGTACTACTTGGTCCTGGCCTACCCGCTTGATGAGATCAGCAATGGCTTCAGGATTCAAATTCACTTCCTTAGGGTTCTGTCTCTGGCTCCCCAACTGTGCTCCCCTCTTTGGCTTTGCACCGCAGAGGGCCTTTAGGATGTAGGAGCCTACATCCTAAACAGTCCGGCCTCCATCTTGCTTCTCCTGCAACACCTGAGTGTCCTTCCCTTCTTCTAGTCTCTGGTGATCTGTTCAAGAAACTCTTTCTGGAGCCAATCAGAAAGAAGTCAGAAGAATGTCCACTCCAGTGTGAGTGGGAGCGAAGGAACTAGGGGTTGGCATCATGAGAGGAGCTGGTTTCCCTGTCCCCTCTTCATGAGCTCTCTGGGCAGAGAATGTGGCACCCAGCAAAATCAGTCCCGGCAGTATTGGAGGGGGGCTTCAAAGCCCTATGCTGCACCTTTTCAGGCTTCAGGGAATGTCTAGTGGCTTCCAGAGATGAGACCAGCTCCTGGAAGGGGATAGCTAGTAGTGCATTGGAGGCAGGGTCAGCCCAGCCTTTGAGTTTAGAAAGACTTGGGTTCAAATTGTCCTTCCTGGCTGTTGTGGCCTTGAGCAGCTGAGTTAACCTTGAGACAGGCTGGTAAGCCAGGACAAGGATAGGGAAACTGAGACAGATAGTTAAACAGCCGAGCAGTTTATAGGCATCCAGTAAATTGTAAAATCCTATCTTCCCTAAACTAAGAGCACCTAAGAGTTTGAGGGGAGAAGACTCCTGTTGCCCCACTTGAGCTTCCCACAGCCTCAGCAGCAGTGGACATCAGCAGGCTCTGGGTCAAGTTCCCTTCTTCGCCATCTTGCAGCCTCAGGACCAAGGTAGGACCTCTCAGGTCTCCCTTTTATCCCTGACCCTGGTCCCTCCTCAAGTTTCTGCCCAGCCGCCCCAGCTGGCTACTACTGTGAACCATAGCCCCAGCCTCTGTGGGGGAGGGGGGAAGATGGGAGGGGAGGGGGAACGGGGTCCTAGGACCCAGGTCTGGGATGCCCCTCACAGATGACTACAGGGAACACCCACCACCACTACCTGGTGAGGTCTAACGCTGTGGTCGGCAAACTGCGGCTCTCGAGCCACATGCGGCTCTTTGGCCCCTTGAGTGTGGCTCTTCCTAAGCCTTAGGAGTACCCCAATTAAGTTAATAACAATGTACCTACCTATATAGTTTAAGTTTAAAAAATTTGGCTCTCAAAAGAAATTTCAATCGTTGTACTGTTGATATTTGGCTCTGTTGACTAATGAGTTTGCCGACCACTGGTCTAACCCATAAAGACAGAACCTAAGGTGTGACCTCTCCTTGGGGATCTTCTCTGCCTCTTTCCCTCTTCCTTCAGCATTCCCTTTCTTCTCCTCTCCCCACTCTTCCCTGGATGGCAGATGATGTAGAGTTGGGACCACTCTAGCCTGGAGCGTGGAGGAAAGTGCTAGTGATGAGGGCTTGGGCAGGACGCCTCTCACAGCAATCTCAGGGAATGGTAGCTTTTCTGTTTCTCCCCTCTTTCGCTTAGAGGGGGTTCAGTTCCTGAACAATATTTACAACTTCTCCCCTCACTCCCTCCTTCTGGGTTCCTTCTTCCCACTTTCTACTGCCCTTAGTCAGGGCATGTACTCCATCTCTGCAGAGGAGAGTATAACTAGAACGTGCTGCCTGAGGAGACTAAAGTTAAGGATAGAGAAGTCTTCCTCACTTATCAGTACCTTCTTAAAGGAGGGATTTAT